AGTATTACTACAGGGTCAGTGTTAGAAAAAGACGACAAGTCATGTGACACTAGTTCTCCCACTAGCCTGTGTCTCACATTAATGAGTGCTGGGCAGTGGCAGAGCAAGTGTTCGATTGTCTCGATTTCTTCTTCATCTTGACAGATCCTACAGTAGTCAATGCCGTCGCTGTCCCATTTCGATGTCATAGCCCTCACCTTACAGTGACCTGTGATGATACCCACCACTAGTTTTAGATCAGGTTTTGACAATGACATCAGCGACCTTGTTCTCTTCTCCGAGAGTGTGGGCCAGATTCGTTTGGGGATGGTACATCCAATTTCATCTAGCCATTTTTGTTGGATTTTCTCAGAGTAGTGTTTGTGAATAACCTGTAGGAAATGGCACAGTGGTGATTTAACTGAGTTTTCTACTTCAATTGTAGTTGATTCGGATCCTAGTCTGGCCAGTTCATCTGCAGTCTCGTTACCTGGGATGTTAAAATGTCCAGGAACCCAACAGAGCTTGATGGACAACCCAGTGTTTTCCAAAGCTTCCCTGCAGTTTAAAACAGCCCTAGACTTGATTGTCGCTTGACTATCGACATATATAGTCACCGGACTACTGACTTCAATGCTCCTCGTGACCAGCAGGTCAATGGCCTTTTTGACCGAAATGATTTCCGCCTGAAATACGCTACAGTTGTTTCCAAGCTTGCAGGATTCACGAACATTAAGAGTATCACAGAAGACACCAGCTCCCGTACCACACTCCATCGTTGAACCGTCGGTATAAACAGCTATGCCGCGGAAAGGTGGATTGTTTTGAGCCCAGGCCCATGTGTATGTCAGGTGGGTAGAAGCTTAGTCGTGGTGAAATATAGTCACTTACAAAGTCTATCTCTCCCACATTCCTTACACGCCTTAGAATCGCAGAATGTCCAAAGGGTTGACTGCGCCATTCACCTAGTTCTCTGAGTCGAAGAGCACTCCTGTATGCCTGTTCCTCCACATATACTTTCAGCGGGCTTAGGCCCAGTAGAGTATCCAGTGCTGCTTGAGGCGTGCTCCTGAAGGCACCCGTTATTAGTAAGGATGCGACCCGTTGAACTTTGTTAATATGTCGTAGATAAGTTTACTTCTTCAAAGAATGCCACCATACTAGAGATCCATAGGTTAGAATGGGGCGAACGATTGACTCATGCATCCATTTGATGATGTGCGGTTTGAGGCCCCAGCTCTTGCCTATAGAATTCTTGCAGGAATAGAGTGAAATCAAGCCTCTCTTAGCTCGTTCCTCGGTGTTCCTCTTCCAACTGAGTCGGCGGTCAAGGATAGTGCCAAGGTATTTGGCTTCTAGCGAAAGGTTTAAACTGACTCCATCTAGTTTCGGTGGTGTAAATGAAGGATATTTACGTTTTTTAGTGAAAAGGACGAGCTCTGTCTTTGATGGGTTCACGCCTAGTCCATTGCCACGCGCCCTCCGTGATAAGGTGACTAGAGCTCCTTGCATTATATCCGAGATTGTTTGCAGGAATTTCCCGGCAATTAATAGGACGACGTCATCAGCGTATGCGACTACTTTCGTCCCTGTTACCTCTAGATCTATAATTATATTGTTAATGACCAAAAGCCAGAGTAGTGGTGATAGGACACCCCTTGCGGAGTGCCCCTAGTGACCGATTTCCTGACGGATGTTTCCCCAATGCTCGAGTTGATGATTCTGCTGCTAAGCATGGTATCAATCCAGTCTATGAGGACTTGAGGTACTTTAAGTTTTGATAAAGAATCATGAATGGATTCTAGCGTGACGTTGTTAAAGGCTCCCTCAATATCGAGGAATGCAGCCAAGGTGAATAAGGAACCATTCATGTTCTTCTCTATATACCCTACGACATCGTGTTGCGCTGTTTCAACAGATTTAGCTTTCATATGGGCATGCTGAGCATTGCTAATGACGGTCTTGGGTAATAGAGATCTGATCTCTATGTCTATCAGCCTTTCCAAAGTTTTCAATAAGAAGGATGAGAGACTTATCGGTCTATAGACCTTGGGAAGTGAGTGACTCGGTTTCCCCGCTTTGGGGATATAAGTGACTGTGACTTCTCTCCATGATTCAGGAATGTAGGATAGACACAGACAAGCTTTAAAAATCTCCCCCAGTATTGGGGATAATGACGCTGAGACACGCTGGATCATAGCGGGAATAATACCGTCTGGTCCTGGAGATTTAAAAGGCTTGAATGTATCTATAGCCCATTTGATATAAGGGCCTTAAAAACGTTTGGCCTAAGAACCCAAATCTTCTTTGGAGTTGTGATGTGAGTAATATCCTCACCTGAATCGATTTCTATTCAATTTGAGGAGGCATTTCTGTCTGAACCCATATTGATCAAAATTCATCGTATTTGAGCTGATATAACATTTTAAGGCCGAATAAACGTGAAATCGAATGTAGATATGTATGGGAACGATATCCAAATCAGAACCGATCTATATAAGATTTAACAGAAGTATATATGTGCTGTATCTGATAGCTGGCGCCAAGTATTGTTATTGTGGTGAGCATTTTACTGGTGTGAGGGACCTAAATGCAAAATCGGAGAAGACATATATATGGGTCTTATACCTATATTCAAACCAATTTAAAATTGTATACACTTTCTTTTAGGTTGAATTCGTTCGTATGTGTCAAATTTTATTCAATTCGGGCTTATATTAATCATTTGGTGTTCATTGAACTTGAAATAGAGTACATATATATAGGAGATATATCCAAATCTAAACCGATCGCGATAAAATTCGGCAAAGGCTTTTCTAAGCTGTATTTGATATATTTCCCCGAATACAATTACTACGGAGTTCATATTACGGATGTGGAGGGCAAAAAAATCGGATTAAGAATAGCTACATCTGAACCGATTTGCACCAAATTTAACATTTGATAAATTTGGATTAATATTACATATTTGGTGCACAATAAAAGGTAAATCGGACGAACATATGGGAGGTATATCTGAATTTTGACCTATTATCTTCAATTTCAATAGGGTCCGGCTTTGGGCAAACAACTGACTTGTCCAAAATTTGATCTGGATCGGGCAATAGATGTGACCTGTACTTTGTTTACAAAAATACATGGACAGACGGACCGCATGCATGCATAAATCGATTCTATTTAAAATATATTCCTGGTATTTCTAAAATGTGCGGACACCGAGGACTCCTATAAAGAAAATTTCTAAAAGGGTGGATGAGGGAGTACTTGTCCCCTCTATGTTTTTTATTTTAAACAATTCTCTTAGAAAATGTGATCTAAATCGTCGAAATACTGACGAATTTAAGGTACGGTTACATGGGACTATAGAAAAACGTGGACCTAAGATAAGATATAAAGCCACAGTATGGTGAAGGGCACTACAATGGTAACTTAGAAACGAACTTAATGCTTGCCTTCGAAGTTTATATGCTTTGATTTTCTAGTTGGGCTCGTGGTTTTTTAAAGAGAGAGCGAGATGAAAAAACTGCAACAAACTTCAGACTGCTGTAATTTCTAAGAAACTCGTCCGACAACAGCTGTGACGGCTCACTATATTGATTACAAGCGTACAAAACCATTTTGGTGATAATTTTCCAGAAAAAAGTTATTCGTGATGGAACTCAAGCCTGATAGTGTGATTTCTTTATATTTGACTGGAAAACCACAAGTACCTATCGTAAGAGCACTCCAACATCTAAATGTGAATAAATCTTTTGTGTCTCGTATTATCGCTCGTTATCGTGATACTGGTAGCGTCAAGGAAGTGAATGGAAGAAAACATCAGCAGAAATAGTGCGAAAAGCAAAGAAGCGACTTTATCGAAACCCGCGTCGCAGTGGCTGAAAAATGGCTCGTGAGCTCAACATATCGCAATATTCCATTCGGGGTGAGACAAATCTAAGCTTTTTGTAAAACGTTTTTTCCAACATTTCTTGCTTTCATTCAATAAAATTAAAAAAAAATGTAAAAATTATGGCGTTCGACTTTGTTGCACTTTTTTATCTCACCCTGTAAGTCCTAAATAGAAATGAGCAATATGTACAATAGCTTTAAATACTGCATCATTATAGTTTTTGTATTTTCGGGAATAGGCTTATAATAAATTGCACTCAAATCTCAATTTAAACTCCGTTTCCTGCCATCACATATACAGGGTTGCCCATATTCGACGGACCTTAGGGCCCATTCCAATCGACGAGGCTTGTTCGCAGGCAACATTTTTTGTGTCAATTGGATTTTGTATGGGAACAAATGCAAATCAATGCGAATAATCCGTTGTAAAGTGGACCGAGCCATGCCCAACTGCTGAGAACGGCGTTTTTGGGATGTTCTTGGATACCTCTCAACACTGGCTCGTACGACAGCGATATTCTCGGCCGATCGCCTTGGTCAACTTTTATATGGCCTCTTCGGATTAGAAAGAGCCTTAGCAGTCGCAAATTTTTCGTATAACCGCTTAATGGTGTTCTTAGAAGGCGCACTTCTCACATTTTTTAATGTTTTTAAAGCACGTTGAGTTTTCACAATTGACTTCTTCTGTTGAATGTAAATTTCAGACCGCTCGCGTGCCGTGTATTGGTTCATGGTAAAATCTGCTTGGACTGACGCTTCAAACGCGGTATGTCATTAAGCGATGTGACATCTCTGTCAAAAGTTATGGCGTTGCCAGATGGGTCCGTCGAATATGGGCAACCCTGACCTCATTTCCACTTAAAAATTTTCCAAGCATTACCATTTTTAAGTCCTTTTGTAACAAGGATTTTCGTTACGACTTCAATTCTAAACTAGAATAATGTTATGCACAAAATTCACTTGTGAATCGAAAGATGCCAAAATATTATTACAAATTTCTTATGTCGTTTAATTAGCATATTAATGTTGCATGGCTACAATATTAGCCAATTAGCACCTGCTACTTTCATATCCTCTCTTACAATAAAAAATACGCAGACATATGGTAAAGATATTTAAGCAATTCATACCTCAGGTTGTGTTTCTCCATGAACAATGCACACCAGCATTGCCTCGTGGCCTTCCCCAGAGAAAACCACCGGGCGCTCCACATTGATTTCAGGAGGATCTACAATAAATTCAAAAAGAAAAAGGTAAAGAAAATAAAAATTAGTTTCCAATAACCCACATGTCTGAAATCGATTACCAACAGAACCGAGTTGGGGAAATCAAGAGTTATTAAAATAAACACAATAAAAATATATTCTAATGGTTTCGGGGATTTGACCAGGGCTTATTGTAATGACCATCCATACATTTGCCTTTTTTCATTTCATTAGCATACTTACATAAAACATGTAAAATCACTTGACTGGAGGCCGGTTGACCCACACCATTATTGGCCGTACAAATGTAAACTCCACCCTTGTGGCGGTCCACATTTTCAATTGACAATATATGCGAATGGAGTTTCTCCTCGCCTGTGGTGCGGCATAGTTTAACATTGAGGGAAAAAAGGTTGAGAAGGCGGCAAATAAAAAGAAAAGAAGAAGAAAAAAAATTACAATAAAAAATCATGAATAGCTTAAAATTACCATAAAGGAAATATTTAGTTTTCAAATAAAATGACCCTTAAGATTCATATTTTGTTCTTCACAATGTTCTTATATTTTATTTAGGTTTTTTTTTTTCTTTTGGTGTTTTGTCTATGTTCTTGGCTTATTAACATATTCTCAACTAAGGGGACCTAAAAACAGAAGAAAACAAAAATCTTACCATTGGGCAAAATATTATTTTTACGACTCCATGTAACGTTTGGTGTAGGATTGCCCGAGGCAGAACATTCAATACGAACCGAAGAGCCTTTTTTAACTTGCAAATGACCGCTGCTGCTCATATGATGAATCCTTGGTGGTACTGCAAATATAATGGGTGATAAAAATAAGAAGAAGAAGAAGAGGAAAAAGAAAAGAGAATAAAGAAAACTTTATAATGACCATACGTACTGGACACAATGTTAGATTGTTGTGTGAAAAATAGCAATGGCAAATGTGGTGAAAATATTTTTATTTTAAATTAAATTTCAAGGACTTTATGATTTTTTTCGGATTTGTTTAAGAAAAAAAAAAAACAGCCTTCTTTTTTTCAGACCTTTCTGGAAGGAATTTTAAAATTTTAAATTAAATTTGAAGGACTTTATGATTTTTTAGGACATTTTTAAAGACCAAAAACTGTTTTGAGATCATCCTGGAAAAAATGTTTAAATCGACCCAAACATAATGAAGGTTTGCTTTAAAATATTTTTGAAGACTTCCTGATTCATTGATATTGTAAGAGTTTTTGTTTATAGCTTTTTTTTGACAATAGTTATGGAGTTTTAAGATTTTTAAGAAGTTCAAATTTGTCAAGAACTTTTTGACAAAAATTGTAAGTCTGGCCCAAAATCATTTTGTTAAACGATTTTGGGCCAGACTCACGATTTTTGTCTAAAAGTTCTTGAAAAGTTGAAAAAGTTTAACATATCCCCCTGACGGCGTAATTTTGACCCCTTCAATAATATTTTTTAACATTAACATGTCATTTATAGCCTACTTCCGTGCAATATATGACATACGAGGGAAGTTCGGAAACTCTTAGCCTATCAATAAAGGAGAATAGTTAGTTTTTCAAAAATATTTTTGTTTTTCAATATAATCTCCTGAAACTTAAATACATTTAGTCTAACGTTTTTCTAGCAATTCTATCCCTTGATTAAAATAGTTTTCATCAAGGTCTTCAAAATAATGGTTTACAACTGTAATTGCATCTCCAGCAAGGATTTTTTTTTTACATTTGGGAACAAGTAGAAGTCACTGGGAGCTAAATTAAGAGAATGAGGTGGGTGGTCGAGCAACTCGTACTTTAATTCGTGGATTTAAGCCATTGTTAAAACACTCTTGTGCGCTGGTAGGTTCTCTTTTTTTCTGTGTTGTAAGCCAGGACGTTTTTCTCGAATTTGTACATTTAATTGATACAAAAGGTTGAACAGTACCCTGAATTTATTTTTTACCCTTTTGCAATAAAATACCTTTGAAGTCCCAACCGGGCCGAACGTTGAATACCCTCCACCACTTGGAAAAAATTTGGCAATTCTCAAAAATTCCCATTCAAAAATGCTGTTAAAATCTTAAAAATACCGAATGTAGCTATTATATTAGGCTCTATACGATAACATGGACCTGCATAGGTAATTTTTGTCATAGGCCATTAAAATATTCAAATGCGAAACTTAAAAAAATGTACCTAAAATCATCCAAATACCGAGGTACCGTTATATGGTGGCTATATTAGGGTCTGCACGACGACATGGACCTGCCCAGACAATTTTCTGTCTTAGGCACGAACTTCTAATGCCAAATTTGAAATAATTCCGGTAAATGATGTTGCTATAATCATCGCAATACTGAATATCGGGAGGTACCGTAATATGGGGGCTATAATAGGGTCTATACGACGACATAAACCTGCCCAGACAATTTTCTGTCTTAGGCTGTAGTATCCGTTACGAACTTCAAATGCCAAATTTGAAACAATTCCGGTGAATAATGTCGCTAAAATCATCAAAATACCTACATGCCCCATTTTCTGTTTTATGCTGTAGTATCTATTACGAACTTTAAATACCAATTTTGAAACAATTTGGGTAAATAATGTCACTAAAATCATCAAAATATCGCATATCGGGAGGTAGGGTTATATGGGGATATACGAAGACGTGGACCTGCACAGACAATTTTCTGTCTTAGGCTATACTATCCATTACGAACTTCAAATGCCAAATTTGAAAGAATTCCGGTGAATAATGTCTCTAAAATCATAAAAAACGCTATATCAAAACGTGGACCTACATGGCCCATTTTTAATACTAAAAGTCCTGCAGACATAAAATGTTCCTTTCATTCAGAAGCTAGAGTGGTTTCCACAGACGGACGGACATCGCTATATCGGCTATACCAAAACGTGGACCTACATGGCCCATTTTCAATACTTAAAGTCCTGCAGACATAAAATGTTATCAATTTACTTCCTGTCGTTCGGAAGCTAGAGTGATTTCCACAGAGGGACGGACATGGCTAAATCGACACAGAATTTTATGCTGATCAAGAATATATATACTTTGTGGGGTCTAAAAGGTATATTTCGAGGTGTTACAAACGGAATGACGAACTTAATATACCCTCCAAACTATTGCGGAGGGTATAAAAACCGTTGTCATAACCTTACCAGCCGATTGAATTGTTTTTGCCTTCTTTGGGGCAGTCCATTTTTTGTATTGTTTTTTTTTTGTCTCTGGAGTATAGTGGTGGATCCATATCTCATCAACAGTTATGAAACGACGCTCAAAATCCATTTTATTTCGCTTAAAACGATCCAAACTAGCTTGAGAAATGTAGCCTTTTTTAACACCTGTTTCTATATGTAGGAGTTCCCAGATCGAAACAAAATTTAACATGTATTCATAACAGACATGGAGGTTTCCAAAACACTTAATCTTTTTCTGTTTTTACTGCGCTTTATGTGCTAGGCTAAAAAGTTTCCGAACTGCCCTCGTATCTAGTGGAATCTCTAAAACATTTGTACGATTCAAAAAATTACCTAAACACAACGTACCTGCATACCAAAATACATCGTTGCATGTGAATTGGGATAAATTATCCCATACATAAGCTATTGTTATTCTATTTCCCAAATTACTGCTTATTTATATATATTTTTATACAACTCATCGAAAAACCACAATAACAGTTTTAATTCACACTTACAAGCAAGCTTATATATATTTATTTATAGATAAATATTTTTTAAACAATTTTCAACATTTATGATGAACTGCTGTCGGTCGTTATTATTTGTTGAAATATATGTTTGTGTATTTTCTCACTCATTTATTTCAATAAAACCACTAAATACATTAACAAGTATAACCAATTTCATTTAATGAACGAAGAATGGATTGAACAACAGCAAAAAATAATGTTAACCACAAATTTGCCATACGATTGCCAGACTTGATGTGTTGCGGTTGATATTCAGGTTGAGCTATGATGATAGATGGTAGTGTTATGACAATACAGAAAACCATAATAATGTTGGCATAATATCCTGGTTAACGCCATTGAAAGGTGAATGCAAAGCAAAAAACAAAAAAAAAAAAAAAAATAAAATAAAATAGCAAAGAATAACAACAACAATAACAAAAGGAGGAAATGTTTATACAAATTGAAATTATAAAATAAATAAAAGAAGAAACAATAGTATTTTCGTTGGTAGGACAATTGTAGGATTTGTGTTTACGCCTCAAGCAAAGCAAAATACCAAAACGTTTTAGTTTGGTATGTGAAACAAATTATGGGCTATTTGTCCCTATTTTTTTTTAAAACGTATTATTAAGCACCTAAGGAAATATATATAAGAAATATTCTGAAACAACTATTAAATATTAAAAAAATAAAGGTATTTAAAAACAAGTAAAAGAACTATAAGTTCGGCCGGACCGAAACTTGAATACCCTCCACCATTTGGAACGAATTTGGCAATTCTCAAAAACAATAATATCCGTTAAAAGTTGTGTTAGAATCTTTAAAATACCGTATGTAGCTGTTATATTGGGGTCTATACGACGACATGGACCTGCATAGGTACATTTTTATACCCTCCACCAAAAAAGGTATGGAGGGTATATTAAGTACGTCATTCCGTTTGTAACTCATCGAAATAATCATTTAAGACCCAACAAAGTATATATATTCTTATATCAGCGTAAAATTCTAAGACGATTTAGCCCTGTCCGTCCGTCTGTCCGTCTGTTGTAATCACGCTACAGTCTAAACGAATTAAGATAGGAAGCTAAAATTTTGCACAGATCTCTCTTTTGTCTGCAGGCAGGTCAAGTTCGAAGATGGGCTATATCGGCCCTCGATATCGTATAGCCCCCATATAACGGTACCCCCCGATATTCGGTATTTTGATGATTTTACCCACATTTTTCTACGGAATTGTCTGAAAATCCACACAAGGAGTTCCTTGTGGGTACTTTATACCTCGGCAGAGAATTGTCCATATAGGTCCACGATATCGTATAGCCCCCATATAACGGTACCCACCGATATTCGGTATTTTGATGATTTTACCCACATTTTTCAATGGAATTGTCTGAAATTCCACAAAAGGAGTCAATTGTGGGCATTTTACCTCCTCAAAAAGAATTGTCTATATAGGTCCACGATATCGTATATTCCCCCTATATAACTCTAACCCCCGATATTCGGTATTTTGATGATGTTAGCCACGCTTTTCAATGGAATTGTCTTAAAGTCAACACAAGTAGTTCCTTGAGAGTACTTCACCCCCTGAGAGAGAATTGTCTATACAGGTCCACGATATCGTATATCCCCCATATAACGGTACCTCCCGATATTCGGTATTTTATGATTTGACCCACATTTTTCATCGGAATTGTCTGAAAATCCACACAAGGAGTTCCTTGTGGGTACTTTATACCTCGGCAGAGAATTATCTATATAGATCCACGATATTGTATAGCCCTCATATAACGGTACCCCCGATATTCGGTATTTTGATGTTTTTAGCCATATTTTTCAACGGAATGGTCACAAGGGGTTCTTTGTACACAAGGGGTTCTTTGTGAGCACTTTACCCCCGACAGAGAATTCTCTATATAGGTTAACTATAACGTATAGCTCCCATATAAAGGTACCCCGCGATATTCGGTATTTTGATGATTTTAGCCACATTTTCCAATCGTATTGTCCGAAAATCCACACACGGAGTTCTTTGTGAGTACTTTACACGCAGACATAGATTTGTCTTTATAGGTCCACAATATCGTATATCCTCCCATATATCGGCACCTTCCT